CCCCAAAAGTTAAACAGGAACACAAGAAAAGCAGTACTGGATTAGAAAATAATTTTTCTCTTAGTATAATTTTACACTTCTAAAAGAAGTCTGCTTTGATATGTTTTCCTGTCCCAGACCAAATTAGATAAAACAGGTCATTTGGAATTTACAAAAATAAAATGAGTTCCGAATTCTAATTGAATTTCGCCCAAGTCAAAATGTATTTATTTTAGAATTACTAGTTTGTAAATACAAAGTTTCAGTTATTTATGGTGTTTGTCTATCAGTGTTCAGATATGTGACGTGGGGGTATTCAGGTGCAGTAATGATCTGATTGTTTGTATTAAATGTCTAATAGGCGTTGATAAAGTAATTGAGAGAAAAAAAGTGATTAATTTCGCTGTAGGTATAGATAAATTGGTTTGTTGAATTTCGCGCGGAGCAGGCGGCTAATCATCGTCACCCATAGGCGATTATTGAGCTATTCTCTACCAAAGCATAGTGAGATTGATAGTTATATTAAAACGCGAGTATATTCAGTGACGGGATTCCAACTCCAGTGTCCTAACCAGTACCCCGTGTCAACACCTGCATGTCACTATTTGAGCATAAGAATAGCATAACATCTTTGAGGTTAATCGTCCAATCTTATGAACTGAATATATTTAGAAAAGCTGAAGGTTTATAAAGGAACTCCACCATTTATAGCACAATTAATGTTGTTAAAGATTTCAGCCATTGAAATACAGTTTTCATTATAAGAAAATTATTGTACCGTTCGTATTCTTTTTTTTTTCTATAATAGAGCTCTGAGGCACAGAGGTTATCAAAACAGTGGACAGTTTCTGGTTTAAAGTGATTACTTAAAAAAAAAAACGCACTTATTTTCATATATACATATTTGTTCCTACATTATTAACATTCAGTGGTAATGATACCATGCAGATATTAATGGTGATGTTTTACATAACTTAAAAAAGAATTGAAAGATACACGCTTTTCATGCCTCTCTTCTATAATTTAAGTAGTTATTCCAGGTGTTGAGCGACACGTGTGTTGATCTCAAGCAATAAAAAGGGGATGGAGATAATGACGTCATAGTTCCACGAAATGGAACCAGAAGGCGCGTTGCTAGGCTGCTATGACAAGCAATTTTTGTCATGCTGTCATGTCAATTGGCAACGGAAGCTGCTTGCTACCAGAAAGCGTGTTGCTAGGTGTGATATCATAGTTCGAGTGTTACACAACATGGATCATGTTGCTAGGCCACGAAGTGGCACCAGAAGGCTTTTTGGTATGATGAGCGCTTAGATAGATCAACGTGCCATTAACTTTATAGTAACAATCACAGTCTCAAAATTAATAATTGACTTTAATTTGCATAACGTTGTGTTTACAGTTTCGTTTTATAAATAAAACACTAAATGCGTTTTACAAAGGTGGAAAATGTTTCTATAGGCGAATAGTGTTACTGAGATTCCATAGGTGGATGATACTACTAAGGACAATGTTAACATAGTTTGTAGGATCATCGATTAATCAATGGTATTTTACCTTATTTGTCTCGCTTACGTTTTACAAATATTGAAAGAGACTGATTTTTCGTGATAACATCTCTAACTATCATGCAAGTAATTTAACATACAATCTTACTGTTCCCCTAGCTTGGCTTTATGGATTAAATATATTTTTATGATAGTGTTTCTATAAGCGGATGGTGTTGTTATTACACTGTCTTACTACGATTCTATAGATGGAAGGTCTTACTAGGCATATTACATGGGTCTTACAAAGGCGGATGGTCTTTCTGTAGACGGATAGCTAAATAGGTTGATGAGTTCTTCGTAGGGTGTCTCAACCTGTATCATCATGTGATTATGTCATCAATATCTAGATTTAATTATGTGTCCTAAATATTACAAGTAAAAACCATTATTTTAAAGAAACATCTGTTATGATACAGTGTATTACA